GTAGTCCGAGCTTCTTCTTGTTGACTCTCCTTTGTAGATGACTTTTCGTTTATCCCTAGCCGCTGTTAAAATTCTCTCTTTATCTTTGGTTTTGCCAAGTTTGATTATAATATGTCTTTGTGACTTTCTTTTGGGATCTTCCTTATGTGTGGTTTGATGAGCATCTTGCATAGATATCTTCTCATCTTTCATGATATCAGGGAAGTCTTCTGCCAACAAATCTTCAACAATTCACTCTGTATTTTCTGTTATCCACCCCCATTCTGGTACTCGAATCACTCATAGGTTATTCCTCTTGATAGAGTCCCACATAATTCTCAGGGTTTCTTCATTTTTTTAAATCCTTTTATCTGATTTTTCCTCAAATAAGTTGGTTTCAAGTGCTTTATCTGCACTGTCAGTAATTCTGACTTCCACTGCCTCAATTCTCCTCCTATGACTTTCTATTGAGTTGTCTAATGCTGAAATTTTATTGTTAATCTTCTGGATTTCTGATTGCTGTCTGTCTATGGATTCTTGCAGCCTGTTAAATTTGTCATTATGCTCTTCTCTAATCTTTTTAATTTCCTCTATTGTGTGTTCTGCATTTTGATTAATTTCCTTCCTAATTTCTTAAAGAGTTCTGTATATTAATCTTTTGTATTCTGCCTCCGGTAATTCCAGGAAATCTTCCTCCTCTAGACAATTTCTAGATTCTTTATTTTGGGAGCTTGCTAAAGCCATCATGGATTGTCTCTTTATGTGATTTGATATTGACTGTTGTCTCTGAGCCATGAATAAGTTATTATATTTATTTATGTTTGCTTACTGTGTCCTAGCTTCTTGTTTTGTTTTGATATGCCCAAATAGGCTGCTCATATGAGCTAGTTTGATTACTGGCACCTTTCAAACTCTAACATCTTGTCACCAGGTGGCTAGATCTGTTACTAGGTATGTGTGCTCAGGAATCCACCCACTCCTCCTGTATGGATTCAGCTAACGTGCCGAGGTAGATAGCTACCAAGTGTGTGGTGTAGGCTCAGGCATCTGGCTGCAGCAGGAGCCACACTCTGAGCAAGGCAGAGGGCTGACGGCCGCCCCTAAGTGTCCAAGAGGGAGGTGTGTCCCTGTTCCCTAGAGCACGTAGGTGGGTGGGTTTTGCAGCCAGACCATGAGTACTCAGTGCTGTTGGTTTTAAGGGCTGGGGGACACCTCTTATTCTTGGGCCCCTATTGCAGGTGGCTAGGTGGCATGGGTGAAGCCACCAGTCCTCAGGCCCTATATGGGTAGGTGAAGACCCTGCTTAATGAACAGAGCAGTGTCAAAGGTCACGAACCTGCCACTTCACAGCTGAAACAGCTGAAGTTAGACTTCAGGTATATACCCTGTTGTACTGTGGTTAATGAGGGCCTACGCTGTTGAAATGGGTCCACACAAGTCTCTGCAGGGGGAAAGGCACTCAAAGTCTGTGGATCCCTTATGTCTGTGCCTAAGCAAGGGAGCTGTGCCTACCCTCGGTTCCTGGCTAACGGGAGCTGGCTGTTTATTTTTTCCCCTGTTTGTTAATGTGTTCACTCTCCAAGGCTGGGAGAAAGGCTCAGGGCATGTGACTGATCCTACTTCCGGCCCAGGGGACTCGGCAATAGCTAAAGCTGGTCTGGGACGCAGTGCAGAGCAGGGAGTGGGGAGGTAAGTGGGAGAGAGGTTTTTCCCTAAGGGGGGTGTTTTTGATCCACGTGGTAGGCCGTACGAAAGTACTAATCTTTTGCTGATCCAGGGCTGCTTCTCACTGAAGTAGGTTCTCTGGCGCTTGCTCTCTCCTGGTGCAGAAAACACGCCTCCTGATCACTGCTATTTGCCTCCCTCACCACTCACCCATGAGCTGCTCAGGCCTGAAGGGCTCAGGCTCTCGTCGGGTCAGGTATGGCAACTCCTTGCTGCTTCCGAACCGTCTTTCCCTCCCTCTGTCCCTCAGTCCGGTTCCTCAACTTTGCCTTAGATGTTCAGGGCTCCTAGATTGTCATACATAATTGATTCACTTGTTTTTTTCAGTCTTTGTTGTAAGAGGGCCCACTGGAAGTGTCTGACTACTCCACCATCTTGGCCTTGCCTCCAAGATCTACAGCCTTGGAAACCCTATGGGGCAGCTCTACTCTGTCGTATAGGGTCGCTGTGAGTCAATCAACTAGACAGCAATGAGTTTGTTCTTTTTTGGTTTATAAATTGATGAGGCTTTAAGGAATAGTACAATAAAGAGAGATATTAAATTATTATGTGTTCTTCCAAAGCAAGTAAGAGTCTGCCATAAGCATACAACTTCATTTTTATAGTCATCCACGGAATGGCTGTGGTACTCTGTGGTATCAGTGTTCTAACAACACTTGATATTCTTCTCTTCAGGGTCTGATATACTAAAGTAGGCCAAGAAGACTCAAGCTCACTTTTCACTTATTTTGGCCTCCAATCTTCTTTTAACCTGGTTTTGCTTCCTGCTTGCATAAGTCCCCTTTGGGGACATTCTTTAAAAATATAAGATCACTGGAATTGATTACTCTATACCATGACTTGGGTTCTAAAATAATCCATCCACTCATTCCCAGGTGGACCTCCTTCCAAATCTCTTTGAAAAGAAGGTGCATGAGGGTGCTGCTGCTGGCATTTGCCAAATGGTGGACTTTTACAAGACTCCATGTTAACGTAAAGCTTAATTTTAAGACTTTCTAAATATGATCTGCAGAATATTGGCCTGGAAAATGGAGTCACCAAAACCAGAAATTCACTTAAATGAACTAGTTCCCAAAGTCTGGGAATTCTTTGCTTTGTAAACATGTTTACAAGTACAGCCACGTTGTTCCAAATGGAAATGACTGTAGTATTTAATACTGGGATTGTCCTTTCTCATGACTAGATTTACGCTTCATAATGATTATCTGCTAGACACAGGAATAGCATTTCTGTAACTCAAAATTGTTACTGGAGGCATTTAGCAGAATCTTGCTTTAAAAATAAAATGATTTTTCATCTTTATTCTCCCCCCTTCAAAAGGTTTCACTGCTCCTGATGTTTAACATTATGCAAAGACGTGTTTCTGCCAATGAATATCACCTTATGGCTATGGTTCTGCAAATAGCCTGCTGTGAGCTGATAAAGGGATTAATGCAGCCAAAATTCTTAATCTGTGAAATTACAAATTAAATTCTCATATTAAAAATACCACCCTGCGGTATTTTTTTGTGGTTTTAATTCCCCTCGGTGTTCTGCATACATTGTGCTTGTTAATGACGAGGACAAGGCTGTCTCCGTTGGCAGCCTGCTGCCGAGTGATAATGTGTTGGCATTTATTCACTGATAGAAACTGGATTTAACCACTGGCTGATAAACTAAGTGGCAAGTGGGTAATAAGTCCATATTAACAGAAAAGTACTACTACAGAATTCAGAATTCATAGACCATCAAAATCCTGGCTTAAACTCAGTCATCGAGTCAGATGGGATTGAGATGTCACCAAGGAGGAGTGATATCAAGTTACAAGTTACAGTAAAAGGAAAACAAACCATATGTTTGAGTTTGATGAGCCACAAACTAATGAGTCCATTTGCATCATTTTTTTTTCGGTATAGAAAGACATGTAACCAATTCATTATTTTTCCATAGGGATTTCAACTTTAGTTTTTTCTTTTTAATTGGGGGTAGTGGCTGCATTGGTCAGTGGGTAAACTTTTAGAAAGGAAGTAGAGCAGAATACAGAGTAAATTATTGGCTGGGAATATATAAAACGTTATAAAGGATTTGCTAAGCATAGGAGGAGTAGATTAATATATCTATAGTCATGTTAGAGTAAAAAAAACTAATTAGAATTAAATTTGGGGTATCAAAAAAGATTTAGGGTAGGAAAACCTAAGGAGTTGTTACTTGGGATTTAGTTCCAAAATAAAGGGTTATTGTCAAGGAGAATTCAACACTGCAATGGGGGAAAAAAGCCTAAAATTTAAGAGACTAAAGAAATAACTTTATGGATGTCTATTGTAAGTTATGTATATCCAAAGATTAACAAACATCACATAAATATTTGTGTGTATATGCAATATGTTAATTTTTAAGGCAATCAGAAAAAGAGTCTGAGAAGAAGTACTTCTAACTGGCATTTGGAAAGAATGTATCACCAATGAATAAAAATTTTCTTACTGTAATAGTGTTTGCACAATTTCATAAGAATTCTGTTCCACACTTTGGAAGAAAGATGAGATCCTTCCAGCCGTAAATTCTTGACCAAATATTTAAAACGTAATTGAAAAAGGCTGTGTAAATATGAACACTTTTGTAAAAACAAAACAAAAACCCACCCTGGGATGTGTTTTGTTTTAAAAAGACTCAGAGACGAGCTGTGTATGAATACCAAGAGCATTTGTAGTTAAAATGAATTACATGTCTTTAGTTCTTACGTGTCAATTCAGTGCATTAGCCAATTGGCAACTCTGTTCCTCAGCTCACTGTATAGCAGCCCTTTTTAAGGTTAGTGTTACAATTAAGATGGTCTCTGAGAATCAAAAAAAATGAATCATTTCTCCTCTGTGTTCTGCAGCCAGTTAAAAAGTACTGTATGCATAAAGCACTAAATATGTAAATTATATTTTTCTTTTCCTTTATGACTGCTCAGATCCTTTTTTTGGACACACACATAATCAAATACAAAGACACGCAGCTGCAGACTGCAGAGCAGAGATAGCAAAAAAGAAAAAAAAAAAAAAAAAAAAAGAAGAGATATCCATTTGAAGAGATATCCATTTTCTTCCTGTGTCGGGTAAGCCAGCAATTGAATGGCAGGATTCTACTAAATATATACATCTCCCTACCCCCTCACTCTCTGTCCACATACACACATACTCACACACAGATATGGATAATGCATACACAAACATATTGTCTTACATATACATATATAAACATGTGAAACTCTACATGTATATTACACAGAGTGATGTCCCTGTTTTGATTGACTGTTGCAGATTTGCCATACTCACTATCGGTCAGTTCCCATAGCCGTGGGGGCAGGTCACTAAAATACTCGTGGCTCAAGGCTGCCTGTGCTGATAGTCTGTTCTTTGGGGAACACTGTAGGAGCTTGGAGGCCAGGTCTTCTGCATGGTTCACATAGCTGAGCCTGAACATATAAGCAAAAAAGAGAGAAATCAGACCAAACAAGAAAATTCACTAAAATAAGACTAAGGCTCCCCTAATTATTCTGGGCTTCCTGATTTTTATTCCTGGCCAGGAAAACAACTTAAATTGACTTTTTTTTTTAAATTTTACTGTGTTTTAAGTGGAAGATTACAGCACAAATTAGTTTCTCATTCAAAAATTTATACACAAAATTGTTTTGTGACACTGGTTGCACTGTCTGAAATGCGTCAGTGCTCTCTCCATTTCCCTTTCCACCCTGGGTTCTCCCTGCCCATTCGTCCAGTTTTCCTGTCCCTTCCTGCCTTCTTGTCTTTGCTTTTGGGCAGGTGTTGCCCATTTGGTCTCATATACTTGATTGAACGAAGAAACATGTTCCTCACGTGTGTTACTTTACAGGCCTAATTTTTGGGTTGAAAGGTAGACTTCAGAAGTGGCTTCAGTTCTGAGTTAGCAGGGTGTCCAAGGTCCACAGTCTCAGAGGGATCCTCAAGTCACCGTCCGACCAGTAAGTCTGGTCTTTTTTTTTTTTTTTTTTTGTGAAATTGAATTTTGTGCTACATTTTTCTCCTGCTCTGCCTGGGACCCCCTATTGTGATCCCTGTCAGAGCAGTCGGTGGTGGCAGCTGGGCACCATCTAGTTCTTCTGAGCTCAGGCTGGTGAAGGCTGTGGTTCATGTGGTCCATTAGTCCTTTGGACTAAAATTTTCCTTGTGTCTTGGTTTTCTTCAGTCTCCTTTGCTCTGGACGGGATGGGACCAATAGATGTATCTTAGAAAGCCACTTGAAATCTTTTAAGAGCCAGATGCTACTCACCAAAGTAGGATGTAGAACATTTTCTTTATAAACCACGTTATGCCAATTGACCTAGATGTCCCGAGACCATGGTTTAAATGAACTTCTGAAAATAAACAGAAGCAGAATTCATGCTGGCTCTTCTTACAGTATCTGTTACTCCAAACTGGCTTATACTTTTGTTATCCTAGTATTGTTGATTTGAAATATTTCTACTATAAGCAAAGGGTTGATACTTGCAGAACAGACAGAAGGAGGTCCAGAGGCAGAAAATTTCATAAGATAATTTATCAAATAGTCACAAGAATTTGTTCATAGAATCTATGTACTACATACACATCTGGACATATTTATAGGAAAATCAATGCAAAATAACTAGAAGATTTAAAATAAAACTGCTATTAAATTCTCCAGTTACTATAAGTTACTCACACTCTTAAGAATCTGAATTCTCTTGCACTGAATATAAAATTATTGGAATAAGTAACCTGTCAAATATCAACAATCATACTATTAACATTGAGGTTAACAAAGGCAATGTGCTTAAACCATATGGGGCTGAATCAATTCAAGATGGCCTTTAACACAACAGTAGATAGAAAATATGTGTCTCAAGATATACAGAAAAAAGCGGAGAAGTAAAATCTTCCATGTGGTGTAAGCTTTCAAGTGGTAGCAGCACCACACAGCCAGCCTAGCCTTGCTTTTCATGAGATATTTCACTGCTCAGATCTATCAAATCCAGATAATAAACATAATAATGGAAAAAGTATTCCTAATGGTGTCTACCATTTACGGAGAGTTGAACACATGGCAGGCACTTTCTCAGGCACTTTACACACACTCTCCTATTTATTACAGTCTGACAAGTGAACTTTTTCTGTACCCATTTAATAGCAGTGGAAGCTAAGGAATGAGCCACAGAAGATAGTGACTTGCTCCGTTTGCAGTATGAGTGGACATTGAAACCCATCCAGAACTACTTGATTCCAAGGGGGCTTGCATATGCTATTCTCTGTCTCTCACAATTCATTTCTAAAGGTTTTTACTCACTGATGCCTGAGTTTTTACAATAGTGCGTAATAGGTACAAGGACTCTCAGAAATACAAAGATGTTTAGCATTTGCCTGGCATGTCTTTCACCACCCTCTTACTCTGAATGCTCCATATTTGTAATTTTTAGGTGTCTCTGTCCTAATTCTCATATGTTGTTGTTGTTTAGGCACCATCCAGTCAATTTTGATTCACAGTGACCCCAGGTGACAGAAGAGAACTGCCTTATAGGGTCTTCAAGGCTGTAGTCTTTACAGAAGGAGCCTTAGCGGCACAGTGGTTAAGCTCTCGGTTGCTAACTGAAAAATTAGGGGTTTAAACCCACCCGCCACTCTGTGGGAAAAATATGTGGCAGTCTGCTTCTGCAAAGATTACAGCCTTGGAAACCCTAGAGAGAAGTTCTACTCTGTCCTATGGGGTCACTATGAGTTGGAATGAACTCAACCTCAATGCTTTTTAATCTTTATGGGAGCAGATCACCAGGTCTTTCCCAAGCGGAGTGGCTGGGTGAGCTTGAACCAAAAATCTATCAGTTACTAGCCGAGTGCTTAACCGTTGTGCCACCAGAGCTCTTTAATCATTATATTCTTGTTGTTATGTGCAACTGAGTCAATTATGACTCATAGTGATCCAATACGACAGAGTAGAAAGGTCCCATAGGGTTTCCTAGGCTGTAATCTTTACGGGAGCACATTGTAAGGTCTTTTCTCTTAGGGACCCACTGGGTGGGTTCAAACAGCCGGCATTTCGGTAAGCAGCCAAATGCTTAACCATTGTGCTGCCAAGGCTCCTTAATCATATAGCTGTGCTTTATTTTAAATTTTATCCAATTAAACAATCCCTGTCTTCCAAGGAGGAGCCCTTGTGGCACAGTGGTTAAGAGCTATGGCTGCTAACCAAAAGGTCAGCAGTTTGAATCTACCAGCTGCTCCTTGGAAACCCTATGGGGCAGTAGAAAGTTTAGTCCATTTACATTTTGTGATTATTGATATATTTGGAATTAATGCTACCATCTTAATTTTTTTCTCACTTCCTGTCTACTTTTAGATTCAGTTTTAAAATTCAACATTTTCCATCTTCTATATTGGAAGTTATATACTCTAGTAAGTGATTTAATTTTTTTTTTTTTTTGCATTTTGTTATTTATTTACATATTTAAGCTCTTTCTGTTGTGTTGTTAGGTGACACTGAATTAGTTCTGAATCATAGCCACCCTATGTAAAACAGAACGAATACTGCCCGGTCCTGCGCCATCCTCACAATCATTCCTATGTTTGAGCCACTGTGTCAATCCATCTTGTAAAGGGTCTTCCTCTTTTTTGCGGACCCTCTACTTTATCAAGCACGATGTCCTTCTCCAGAGATTGGTCCCTCCCAATTACATGTCTAAAATACATGACATGAAATCTCATCATCCTTGCTTCTAAGGGGCACTCTGGCTGTATTTCTTCCAAGACAGCCTTGTTCGTTCTTCTGGTAGTCATGGTATATTCAATATTCTTTGCCAACACCATAATTCAAAGGCATCAATTCTATTTTGGTCTTCCTATTCATTTCCCAGCTTTCATATGCATATGAGGTGATTGAAAATACCATAGCTTGGGTCAGGCCCATCTTAGTCCTCAAAGTGACATCTTTGCTTTTTAACACTTTAAAGAGGTCTTTTGCAGCAGTTTTGCCCAATGCAATACATCATTTGATTTCTTGACTGCTGCTGCCATGGGCATTGATTGTGGATCCAAGTAAAATGAAATCCTTGACAACTTCAATATTTTCTCTGTTTATCATGGTGTTGCTTATTGGTCCACTTGTGAGGATTTTTGTTTTCTTTATGTTGAGGTGTAATCCATACTGAAGGCTGTAGTCTTTAATCTCTATCGCTGTTTCAAGTCAGCTTCACTTTCAACAAGCAAAGTTGTGTCATCTGTGTATCACAGGTTGCTAATGAGTCTTCCACCAATCCTGATGCCATGTTCTTCTTCATATATTCCAGTTTCTCGGATTATTTGCTCGCATACACACTGAATAAGTATGGTGAAAGGATACAACCCTGATGCATACCTTTCCTGATTTTAAACCACAAGTTAACCCCTTGTTCTGTTTGAATGACTGCCTCTTGTTCTACATACAGGTTCCGCATGAACACAATTAAGTGTTCTGGAATTCTTATTCTTTGCAATGTTATCCATAATTTATGATCCTTCATAACTGTCCGATATCTTTGCAGAGTCAATAAAACACAGGTAAACATCTTTCTTCTACTCTCTGCTTTCGGACAAGATCCGTCTGACATCAGCAATGATAGCCCTCATTCCATGTCCTTTTATGAATCTGGCCTGAATTTCTGGCAGCTCCCTGTCGATGTACTGCTGCAACCGTTTTTGAATTATCTTCTGCAAAATTTTACTTGCGTGTGATGTTAATGATACTATTTGCTAATTTCTACATTCTGTTGATCACCTTTCTTTGGAATGGGCACAAATATAGATCTCTTCCAGTCAGTTGGCCAGGTAGCTGTCTTCCAAATTTCTTGGCAGAGATGAGTGAGCACCTCCAGTGCTGCATCTGTTTGTTGAAAGATCTCAGTTGGTATTCTGTCAATTCATGGAGTCTTGCTTTTCGCCACTGCCTTCAGTGCAGATTGGACTTCTTCCTTCAATACCATCAATTCTTGACCATATGCCACCTCCTGAAATGGCTGAACATCAACCAATTTTTTTTTGGTACAGTGACTCTGTGGATTCCTTCTGTCTTCTTTTGATGCTTCCTGCATCATTCAATATTTTGCCCATAGAATCCTTCACTATTGCAACTTGAGTCTTGAATTTTTTCTTCAGTTCTTCCAGCTTGAGAAATGCCGAACTCGTAGCTAAATGTAAAATTTTTCAAGCTGATTCACAATGACAAATTATTTCTCCTACAAAAGTATAACCATACATTCCAGACAACATAAATATGTGGTTGAAGTAACATTCATACACATCACCATTTCATCAATTACATAATAAAACACAATATCAAGTATCCAAATATTAGGTTACACAACTCAAAGACAAAAAAAAAAAATTAGAGATCATCTCAATTAGCAGAAACTCACTTCTTTTTTCTTGCAAGAAAGGTTGAGAAGGAAAATAA